CTCGGCCGGGATCCTCGCCAGGCTCCCGAGCTGCCCCCAGCTACTCTACCCCCGATGGAAAGTTTGGGGCGGGCTTGGACCGAGGCCGATGTTGTGGGATCGGATTTCCCTGCCGCCCTCCCCCCGCCCTCCCGTTCCGCTGGAGGAAGAAGGGGTGCTGGCCCGGGAAGCCAGGTCCTCCACGGCCTGAGTCCTGTCGCCGTCTACAACGGGCAGCTCGGGGTGGGCGAGGTTGCAGAGCGCGCCCCGTCTGGATCTCGCATCCCGCCACCCCCTGGCTTCCCGATCACTCTGCTCTGGGGAAGCTGGGGGAGGGGCTCGCGACGCAGGCGAGTCCCCAGAGCACGCCGCGGGGTCTGGTTGGAGCTGGGGTGACGGTCTCGAGGCGGGGACGTGTTGGGGGGACTAGCGGGGGCGAGGGCTCCCCAGTCCTCCGCCCTGCCCACGCTGGTGTTCCGAGCCGGCAGAGGGCGTCCGAAGGCCGGGCTCGCCATGCTCCCGGCTCCGCCGCTTTGTTTGCATTCAAATCCCGAGCTGGGGGAGGGGAGAATCGGGGGATCCAGAATGGGGTCATGGCGGGGACCCTTTGTTTTGGAGAAAGCTGGTTCCCCGTTTCCGTGTCTTTGCCCGGCCTGAGATGGGGGGTTGGAGCCGTGGAAATCAGTTCGGATAGCTTGCCCAGGCCAGGGTCCCCAGGCGCAGTCGCCGAGTTGGAGGGGTTCGCTAGACCCGGGGCAGTGACCGGGCGCTGGAGGATCGCGCGCCCTCGGACTCTCTACACTCCGCGCACCACTCCTGCCAGCGCCGCGGGGTGAGGGGTCCTGGATGGGACCCGAACCTGCTCGCTGTCCCACAGCCGAGCAACCCTAGGGCGAGTATCTCCTCGAAGGCTGTTGGGACAGGATGAGGCCTTGGTCATTTCTACGCCCATCCCACCCACTTCCTGCCTCCCTCTAGGGCAACAAAGGGGCCTCGGGAAACTGGGCCCCTCAGGCTCCCGGGCCGGCTCCCGCCCCAGTCCTGCTGATGTGGAACGAGTTTGGGGCTCTGCCGGGCCATTGTCTGCGCTGGGGGGGAGGGGACCGGCTGGGGCTGGGCCTTGACCTGCTGCGCGGCGTCCGCAGTGGGGGGCCTTGCCAGCCTCACGCCCCCGCAGCTCTAGCTCTGGACCTGGCAGAATTAGGCCTTGGGGCTGTGGCGGCCCAATGGATGCAGGTCCTGCTTCTTGAGGTTATTTTAAGAAACTTTTGTACCTCTTAGGCCTCAGTGTGGGGAGAAGGGTGTCCCTCTTATTTTTCCAAACAACTTCCGGTAGCCAAGAGAGGGTGGGAGCAGCCTTGAGGCCTTAGAGGGCTTCTTGATGTCTCCCCACTCCTCCAGCTGGTTCAGCTCCTCTACCACATCCGCGGGAGACTCTGGGGTCTTTGGGGGCTGAGGCCAGGGTGGGGAGCTGGGTCCTCTACCTGAAAGAAGGGAAGGGCCAGTGGGGGCTCCCTGAGAGCTCTGGTGGGGTGTTCGCGGTACTGTCTCAGTGTGGACCCCTTCGGAGTGATTGCTGACGACTTTTTTTCCCTTGCCAGGGCTGCTGGCCTGGAGCTGAGAGCCGGGGCGAGTGCCATGGCCCCATACTGGGCCATCTGGCTTCTGGCAGCGGGGTTGTGTGGCCTGGGCATTGGGGCTGAGGTTTGGTGGAACCTTGTGCCCCGGAAAACAGTTTCTTCTGGGGGTGAGTGTCTATATCTGGAGGAGGAGGATGGGAAGGTGGGAGGGGAAGAGGGATAGAGGCTTGTGGGAAATACAGATTTTGGTTGCAAAATAGTGTCCCCAAGAACAACCGGCCTGACGTGTGAAGCCACTTCTCAAAAATGCATCTGGCCCCAGGGGCCAAGGACTGGTAGTTCAGGTCAGGACCTGGATCTGCCCCTCCTTGTGATACCTAGTATGCCTTTGGGGGACCTCTTCGACCCCCTACCCCAGACCTGGCCACCCTGGCATGGAGGAGAGGCTGCATGGTCTCCCATGTTGGTTCTTGGAAACCTAGAGAGAGAAACCGGAGCCAGCAAGGTTGTAAACCAAAGCCTCTGGCCTATGAGCCTTCTAGCTGTGTCCCTAGAAGTCCCCTTATCTACCCAAATAGATTCTCTTACCACCCCCAGGCTCTTCTTCCAGGGTTTCTCTGGATAGGTGGGCCCCCACTGGGGGAGGCAGAGCACACCCGGCTGCTCGCCATGCGTGCACCTGTGTGAAGAGGTGATGTCAAGTGTTTGTGTCATCCCTGTGCTCTGGGGACCTGGGTGAGCTCACCTGCCACTGGCTGCACATAGATACTAATGAAGCCTTGCTGTGCTTGCCTGAGTTTGGACCCTGAGGACGGGCTAGTGGCTATGTCAGGGGCTGGTGCAGGGATCCCATGACAGTCAGGCTGCCAAGCCCCAGGCTTCAGGGCTATCTCTGGCCTCACAACTCCTTCTTCCCCTTCCCCTCTTGCCACCTGTGCTGCCTGCTAGCCAGCTGCACCAGCTGTGCATCCTTCACCAGCAGCCAGGATTTTCATCCCATTGGGTGAAGGGTTTCCCCAAGCTGGGAGTACTTGCCAATCTTCTGTGCCCCTGCTGGGTGACTGCTGTGCCTGCCTGGGCCGTGAAGGAAATGGCAGCAGGGAAGTGGGAGTGGGGAAGTGCCCAGCTCTGGCCGGAGGTGTTGCTGACCCTGAGAGCGAGACCATCAGTCTGATGGCTTCCTCTGGCCGGAAGCTGTGGCTGAGATATCCTTCCTTCCTCCTTACTAGCCCAGATTGGCCTCCTCCTGGGCAGAGGAAGGCGATGGAGGCCTGGGTGGAGCTTTCAGGGCCAAAGCCTATTCAGAAAATGCCCATTGTGGCCAGACGGACTTGTCTGGCATCACAGGCTCTCCAGTGCGGAACTGGGATGATGGGCTCATGAGACCGCTGGACAAAGGAAGGCTGATTCTGGGGGTGCCTGGAACCCCGGGGAGGCCTGCCTGTCCACACCCTGTTCATTTCCTCCCTGTCCCTGTTCCTGCAGAACTGGCAACAGTGGTGCGGCGGTTCTCTCAGACTGGCATCCAGGACTTCCTGACCTTGACCCTGACCGAACAGTCCGGGCTGCTGTACGTGGGGGCGCGCGAGGCCCTGTTCGCCTTCAGCGTGGAGGCTCTGGAACTGCAGGGAGTGGTGAGAGGTGGGGCGGTGGGCAGCACTGGGTGGGCAAGATGCCTTGCCTGCCCCTCCCTGGTCGGGATCGACATTTCCTGGCTTTTGCCCTGGTGGGGTGGTTCAGGGCTTCTGTCCTCTCTGGGAAGAGGTCCCTCCATGCAGGATGGGGATGGAGTCTGGACCGGGTGTGCCACTGTGACATCGCTGATGGGCCCTCTGTCCTCAGATCTCCTGGGAGGCACCAGCCGAGAAGAAGACCGAGTGCATCCAGAAAGGAAAGAGCAACCAGGTGGGTGCTTGGGGCACTACCCATGGGTGGTCCACGTCTCCAGCCCTTGTGTCCTCCCTGACTGGACACCTCTCTTCCTACAGACAGAGTGCTTCAACTTCATCCGCTTCCTGCAGCCCTACAACGCCTCACACCTGTATGTGTGCGGGACCTACGCCTTCCAGCCCAAGTGCACCTACATCGTGAGTGCTGTCCCCTCCCTAGGGACCCCAGCCTCCCCATCCCTGACCTGGCCGCTCCTCCTCATGGTGTCTCTCTGTCCTTAGGACATGCTTACTTTCACTTTGGAGCGGGGAGACTTTGAGGATGGGAAGGGAAAATGTCCCTATGATCCGGCTAAGGGTCACACTGGCCTCCTTGTGGGTAAGTGGCTTCCCCAGTGCAGGCTGAGCGAGTTCTTCTCAACTAGAAGTGGGTCTGCACCCTGCTTCAGCCTTGGCTGAACCTTCATCCCCCACAGATGGAGAACTGTACTCGGCCACGCTCAACAACTTCCTGGGCACAGAGCCTGTCATCCTGAGGAACATGGGCCCCCACCACCCCATAAAGACTGAGTACCTGGCCTTTTGGCTCAATGGTGAGCGCTGGCATGGAGCCAGGGGTGCCAAGGCAGGGGGGGCAGGTTGCTGTGAGATTTCTGGTATCCTACGGCTGATCCTCCTTGCCCTGCCACAGAACCCCACTTTGTAGGCTCTGCCTACGTCCCGGAGAGCGTGGGGAGCTTCACCGGAGATGATGACAAGATCTACTTCTTCTTCAGCGAGCGGGCTGTGGAGTATGACTGCTATGCCGAGCAGGTGGTGGCTCGCGTCGCCCGAGTCTGTAAGGTACCGAGACCCGCAGTGTGGGCCTTGGGAGCCCTGCCAATCTGGCAGGGGCTGACTGGCCCTGTCCCTTTGCCATCCCCCAGGGAGACATGGGTGGAGCACGGACGCTGCAGAGAAAGTGGACCACGTTCCTGAAGGCGAGGCTGATGTGCTCAGCCCCCAACTGGCAGCTGTACTTCAACCAGCTTCGGGCAGTACACACCTTGCAAGGCGCCTCCTGGCACAACACCACCTTTTTTGGGGTCTTCCAAGCACGATGGTGTGTTGGCTGGAGGGGCACCTGGAGGTGTGGGGAAAGAAGTGTGTTCAGATTAGGGGTGTGTGGGGGCATTGAGGTAGCCAGGGTCAGGAAACCAGAATTAACTGGGCATCTGTTGCCTTGTTTTATTCATTTTGGTGCTTTTGAGATAGGGTCTCAAAAATGTAGTCCAGGCTGGGCTTGAATTCCCGGTGTAGCCCAGGCTGGCCTCAGATTATGTCAGTCCTCCTGCCTCAGCCTCCAAGTGCTGGGATTATAGACATATGCCACCACACCCGTCTTATCTGCTCTATTTTAAAGCCCCTGGGGGAGACAGGCAGGGCCTTGGCCCTAGGTGACACCTTAGACCTACCAGTCCATCCTTGTGCCCGTGACCACTTTGTCCTGAGCCCTGCCTTGTGCTCTTGCTGTGGCACTGGGGTGACATGGGTCAGGTGGGCATCAGTGTGACCTTGAGGTCCCTTTTCGGTGACAGGGGTGATGTGGACCTATCAGCAGTTTGTGAATACCAGCTGGAGGAGATCCAGCGGGTGTTCGAGGGTCCCTACAAGGAGTACCGAGAACAAGCCCAGAAGTGGGCCCGCTATACAGACCCAGTACCCACCCCTCGGCCTGGCTCGGTGAGTCCTGTGGGACAGGGCAGGGTGGGTGCCCACTCAGTGCACTGCCTATGACCCTTGGCTCATGGTGCCCTCCCATCCCTGCCCCCATGTAGTGCATCAACAACTGGCACCGGCGTCATGGCTACTCTAGCTCCCTGGAACTGCCGGACAACACTCTCAACTTCATCAAGAAGCACCCGCTGATGGAGGAACAGGTGGTGCCCCGGTGGGGCCGGCCCCTGCTGGTGAAGAAGGATGCCAACTTTACCCACCTGGTGGTCGACTGGATCACGGGGCTTGATGAAGCCACCTACAGGGTGCTGTTCATTGGCACAGGTAGGTGTGGCTGTGCCCAGGGCGGGGTGCCTGGGGATGGCCGGGGCTGTGTGCCTTCCTGCTCACCTTCCTCCACCTCTCAGGGGATGGCTGGCTGCTCAAGGCTGTGAGCCTGGGGCCCTGGGTACACCTGATTGAGGAGCTGCAGGTGTTTGACCGGGAGCCCGTGGAGAGCCTGGTGCTCTCTCAAAGCAAGGTAGGACATTGGGCCCCACACTGCTGTCCCAGTGACATCCTGCATGCTCCCTGTCTGGCTCCCCTGTTTGGCCAGTGGGCATCCCACTTAGCTGGGCCTGAGCTCCAGGAAGTGACAGCACTGACCACAGAATCCACAGAGCCTTTTCTATATAGCCAGGTCCCCTAGGACTGATTCGCAGCTAAGGGCCTGGCACCAGCTCACGTATTCTTAGCCCCTCTCCTTCCAGTCTCTTCCCATCACAACCTGCTGGCCAGACCTCCCAGGCTGCAGAATGCTTACGGTATCCCTGTGACGTCAGCTCTTCCCAGTCCCCAGCGGCCCTCCTGGCCCAGCTTTCGGCTTCCTTGACCATTTCCCTGATGTGTTGGCATTTTTTTTTTAACCTCATTCAAAACTCCTGGCATATTTCCAGCACCCTGTGTACTTTGATTGACTTGCCTTTTACCAGCTATTGTGAGTCCAAATTGTTTCTTAGAACATGGAATAATGGCAGAAAAAAAGTGTGGAGTTGATAAACACAGGTTGGCAGCCACCAAACAGACACCTTATTCTGCTCAGTTAGGGCTGCTGTTTCCTGCTTCCATTACGTGTGAGTGTGGGGATATGTGTGCTGTCCCTGTTCAATAAGATCACAGTTGTAAGGTGCTTAGGATTGGCCTGCCTTGTAGTAAGCCCTTAGTGAATTTGACAGACATTGGACATGCCTCTGCCTCCTATCTCTCAGGTCCACCTATTGGGGCTGTGCTCCCTGTGGGAGTTGGAGCTGTCCCCAGCTGTGTCCCTGGCACTGCTGACCCTCCTGTCCCTGATTTTCCTGCAGAAGCTGCTTTTTGCCGGCTCTCGCTCTCAGCTGGTACAGCTGCCTCTGGCATCCTGCGGCAAGTACCGCTCCTGTGCAGACTGTGTGCTTGCCCGGGACCCCTACTGTGCCTGGAATGTCAATACCAGCTACTGTGTGGCCACGGGTAGTCATCCGGGGTGAGTCGGCCTCTGTGGATGTCTGCCCTGGGATGGGAAGGCAGATGGGTTGGAGCTGGGGTGCTTACGTCCCTGGCTCCCCTTCAGATCCCTGCTGGTCCAGCATGTGACCATCTTGGACACATCGAGCATCTGTAACCTGCATGGCAGTAAGAAAGGTGAGCTGTCCTTTTTGTCCCCCTCCACTAGCCCTGCGCCATAGCTGGAGTTCCCAAATCCTCTGGCACTGGGTTTCCCTAACTAACTGCTCTCTCATCTCTGTCACTACAGTCAGGCTCACGCCCAAAAACATCACGGTGGTAGCTGGCACAGACCTGGTGCTTCCCTGCCGACTCTCCTCTAACCTGGCCCGTGCCCGTTGGACCTTCAGGGATCGAGATCTACCGACAGAACAGCCCGGCACCTTCCTTTATGACACCCGGCTGCAGGCCCTGGTGGTGATGGCTGCTCAGCCCCGTCATGCAGGCACCTACCACTGCTTTTCAGAGGAGCAGGGGGCACGGCTGGCTGCAGAAGGCTACCTTGTGGCTGTTGTGGCAGGTCCATCAGTGACCTTGGAGGCCCGGGCACCCTTGGAAAACCTGGGGCTGGTATGGCTGGCTGTGGTGGCCCTGGGGGCTGTGTGCCTGGTGTTGCTGTTGCTGGTTCTGTCACTTCGCCGGCGGCTTCGGGAAGAGCTAGAGAAAGGTGCCAAGGCAGCTGAGAGGACCCTGGTCTACCCGCTGGAGCTGCCCAAGGAATCCACCAGTCCCCCCTTCCGGCCTGGCCCGGAAACAGATGAGAAACTTTGGGATCCTGTTGGCTACTACTACTCAGATGGCTCGCTCAAGATTGTTCCTGGACATGCAAGGTGCCAGCCTGGGGGCGGGCCCCCCTCCCCACCTCCTGGCATCCCCGGCCAGCCCCTGCCTTCTCCAACTCGGCTCCACCTGGGGGGTGGGCGGAACTCAAATGCCAACGGTTATGTGCGCTTACAGTTAGGAGGAGAGGACCGGGGAGGGCACCCCTTGCCCGAGCTCGCTGATGAACTGAGACGCAAGCTGCAGCAGCGCCAGACGCTGCCTGACTCCAACCCCGAGGAGTCTTCGGTGTGAGGGGACCCACTGCATCGGCAGGGCGCACAGGAGGTGTGGCTCCTACTTTTGCACAGGCACTAGCTACCTCAGGGACATGGCTCGGGCACCCACTCTGCCCAGGACCGGTGCTGCCAGCACCCGCCTGGCCATGAAGACCTGCTCAGCATGGGCACTGCCACTTGGAGTGGCTCACCAGGGCATCAGCCTCTGTGAATCTTGGAAACGTGGGACCCCAGCAGCCAAAACTTTACACAAGGCAGAAGTTGCAAGATGTGGGTTTGTCTGTGCGTGTGTGCGTGCGTGTGTGTGTACGTGTGTGTACGTGTGTGGCACAGCCTTCCTGTTTCTGTGGAGTCTTCCTTGGCTTGGGGTCCTCCTGGTGAGTCTTTGGAGGTATGAAGGGGAAGGGGTCGGATCACTTTGTCTCTCCTACCCCCATCTGTCCCAAATGCAGGGCAGCTGTGTACATATGGGGGTGGGGTGGGCAGGGTACTGTACCCCTCTGGAGGGGTGGGGAGGTGCGCAAGGCCCAGGGGTGGGCCTAGCCCTGTCCCAGGGCTGTGAATGTTTTCAGGGTAGGGGGGAGGGAGATGGCGCCTCCTGTGTGTTGGAGGGAAGGGTGGGCGGGGCCTCCCTCTGGGCTGGGTTGGGGTATTTTATCCTCAACCTCTTCCAGAGCAGGGTTGTGTGGGGGAGAGGGAGGAGGGCATGCTGTGGACAGGAGCATACCCTCTTCCAGCCCCAGGAAGAGGGCTCCTACGGTGTAACTTATTGTGTCCCCACGTATTTATTTGTTGTAAATGTTTGAGTATTTTTATATTGACAAATAAAACAGAAAATGAAACTTATGGGATGAGGACCAGATGTTTTGAGCTAACCCTTATCTCTGGGTGTGTAGAGGGAAGGTCTCGGGTTGAGGAAGGCTGGGTCTACCCACCCCACACTCACACTCCTGGCCAGGGTCCCAGGGCAGCCTGCCCTGTGGTCCCAGCCTGCTGGTGCTCCTCCTCTGGGTGGAGGGAACAGCCAGACTCCAGTGTTTTTTCCCACAGTGGTGCCTATGGGGCTGGGAACCAGACCGGGGCCACAGCCCCTGGGAGCCATTGTGGCTCAGGGCCAGAGGGAGAAGCCAGGGCACCCGGGGTGGGGGTGGGTGCCTTCCCAGAACGCTGGGGAGGGTAAGTGGGAGTGAGGGGACTTCCTAGAAGCTGCCGAAGCACGCCGAAGCCTGTGAGGACTGAATGGTGGCTTGCATGAAGTCTAGGCTCCCAGTCAGCTCAGCAGGAGAGAGAACTTAATTACCCTGGAGAATGCTGGAGCCTTGACGTCCTGGCCATGTAGGGAAGGAGCCACCCAGACTTCCCAGCCCTGTCCTGGCAAGGGAGCAGTACAAGGCCCAGATGTTCCTGAGACAAACAACAGGCCCCGGCCATTTGAGTGCCAAGGATTGAGTTAGAAGTAGCCAACCTCGCCTAGGCACTGAAAGTTCTTGGTGCGCTGCACTGAGGCCCCAGCATAGCGCGCTGCCTGAGCGCCCCTAAGTGGTAGAGCAAGCTGGGTCAGGGACTTGAGTTGCTGTCCTTGGCAACAATCCATAGCCATTGGGACATTTTGAGAAATAGGGAGCTGGATTCGGTAAAGCAAGTGCCCTGTGGGGATGGGGGCTTGGTATGAGCGGGAGGCCCTGGTCCTGCTTTGTGTTCCGAGTAACCAGATTGGCCACCTATCTTCTATTTTTTTAATTTATGTGGTACTGGGGTACTTAGGGCCTTCATAATGAGGTACTTCTCCAGCCCCTTTTTGAGATAGTTTCACTTGAACTGCCCAGGCTGGGAAATCCTTTTCAGCAAACTCCCGGAGTGCTGGGATTACCGGCGGGAGCCCCCACTCCTGGCTCTCTATTGGATTCTGAAGGAATGAGGGTTTCTCAGGCCTTTCAAGCCCTCCCTGCACCGCCTACGGCCGGGTTGCTGCAGGGGTGGGTGGGGTGGGGTGGGGTGTGGTCGGACGAAGATGGTAACTGGAAGAGCTCCGAGGGCTCGGTTCTGGCCGCGAGGACTCAAACTCGGACCAGGCAAAGCCGCCTGGTCCCCACAAGCTGCCAGGCACGGCGCACCGCAGTCCCTCTCCTCCGCTTAGCCTAGCGCGCCCTCGAGTGGCGACATAGAAACGTGACCTAGTGCGACAAGTCCCGCCCCATCGGCGGTTGGCTCGCCAGCTAAAGCCTGGGCAATGGATTGGTCAATTTGGAAGAGGGGCGGGACCGGAGGACAACTGCGGAGGCCGAGTGGTCGAATTGCGACAGTGGGGCGGGCGTTGTTTCCACCTCTCTCTGGGCCGCTAAGGCCAGGATGGCGGCGCCGCACTCTTGCGGGGACAGGCTGTGCTGCTCCTGCCCGGGTGCGGTTCCCGGAGTGCAGCAGACGCTGGAGGAGATGGACTTCGAGAGGGGTGAGGTTGCTCATTGTGTGAGTTGGGACACTGAGCTGTCGTCCCCCTAAGCTGCCCAAGTGGCGAGGCCGGGCCTGGGTCTTCACCTGGTGACGACGAAAGGCTGCTGATTGCAGCCAGGACATTGCACCCCCTGGAGGGCAGGGTCACCAGGGTTGGGTCTGCGCGGTGCGGCTTCGGGCCTGGGTGGCTGGGAAGTGCACACGCCCGAGAAGTGGCCTGGAATTCGGCAGGTGACAGATGACAGGGTCTCTACGGGGCCCAGAGAGGTAGCTCTCGCCCGACCTTAGACAGAGCAGCCGATCAGGTAGGCTGGGAACCAGGTGTCCCTGGTGCAGTCATAGTGATGCTGTCGTCGCTGGGTACATGGCTGCTGCCGTAGATGCATTCACACTTCACCATTACGGTAAAGTAAGGGGCTTGCGCCTGTCTACTTCTGGCACCTCTTCTGTGCCATCCTCCAGGGTAAGGAAGTAGGACTTCCCACTTTCCGGCTCACTTCCAACCGTATTTTCTCATCCCCACCCAGCAGCCAGAGTAGCCTTTTGAAAATAGTAAATCAGATTATTGCAATTCCTGTTGTTTAGTTTTATTTTTTTGAGACTGGGTCTCACTGTGTAGTTTAAGCTGGCCTCAAATTCATGATCTATTACAGGGTGCACCAGCACAGCAGACTTCCCATTGTTTTAATGTTTTTGTTTTTTGTGGTTCTGGAGCTTGAACCTAAGGCCTCATACTGAGCTATGTCCCCAGTCCTCTTTCATTTTTTATTTTGAGATGAGATCTCATGAAGTCCCTAAGTTGTCCAGGCTGGGCTCAAACTTTCGGTCCTCCTGCCTCAGATTCCCAGAGTGCTCAGATTGCAGGTGTGTACCTCCACACCTGGCTGTCATTGCTTTTAGAATAAATCCAAACTTCCTCTCATGGCCTGCAATGCTCCATGGACCTGGTGCCTGCTGTTTCTCTACCCTCATTTTAGTTCTCCTTGGTTTCCTGCAATCATCTCTAAGCATCAGCCACACTGGTCTCATTTGGGGATTTTTTTTTTTTTTTTGAGGGAGCAGAGGTTACTGGGTACTGAACTTAGGGCCTCACACATGCTAGCCAAGCACTGAGGTTCAATCCCAGGCCTTTAATTTTTAGACAGGGTCTTTGTTGTTGTTGTTGTTTTGGTTTTTTTTTGAGACAGGGTCTCACTATATAGTTGAGACTGACCTGGAGCTCACTATGTATCCCAGGTTGGTCTTGAACTCACAGTGATCCTCCTGCCTCAGCCTCCCGAGTGCTGGGATTACAGGAGTGCACCACCACGCCTGGCTAGGCAGGGTTTTATGAAGTTCCCTAGGCTTGCCTTGAACTTGTGATCTTTCTGCTTTGGCTTCCTGAGTATCTGGGATTACAGATGTGCACCACTGTTTCTGGTTCTTCTCTGTTTTGTTTTATTTTTTCAGAGAACTCAGTACCACCTCACTTATTTTATAAATATGTTGAGTATATGTGTATATAAATGTAATATGTGTATATATATAAAAATACATATAAAATAGTTTATATACATAGGTAACAAATATTTATTGTTTTTTATTATTTTTTTAATTTATTTTTTGGTTTTTCTAGACAGGGTCTCACTGTGTAGTTGAGACTGATCTGGAACTCACTATGTAGCTCAGGCTGGTCTCGAACTCACAGCGATCCTCCTGCCTCAGTCTCCTGAGTGCTGGGATTACAGGCGTGTGCCACCACGCCCGGCTTTATTGTTTTTTTTTTAAATGAAGAGTAGTCTCCATTAAGCCAAAATTTGGGATTTTGTTTAGTTTGTTTGTCCTTGACTAATCCTGAGTGCCTACAACACTGCCAGGTACACAGGAAATACAGGTACACAGGAAATACAGGTTGAGTATCCTTACCTCAAATGCTTGGGAACAGAAGTGTTTTAGATTTTGATTTTTTTTCTGATTTGGGGATATTTGAATATACTGTGATCTCTTGGGAAGGGGACCCAGTTCTAAACCCAGTTCCTGTTTTGTTTGCACTGTGAACATAGCCTGTAGGTGTGCAGTGCACACATGTCCTTACTGAGTGCAGTGAGGTGTGGCTTTTTCCTCAGATGCTGTCAGAGCGCTCAGGTTGCAGGTTTGGTGGGGATGCCCGGCCCGTGTGTGGTAATCATCTGCTGAACTCCTGGTTCAGTGCAGGAGAGTGGAGGCTCTCAGGCTCTTGGGAGCAGTGGGTGGTCCTGATGGCTCCCCTGCCTCCCAGCTTCATACACAGAGCCTTAGTCCGGCTCCTGCAATGCAAGGGGCCCACAGCTGTACCCCCGACCCTGCTCAGGCACTGCCACCAAAGCCCCTAAGGTGTGTCCAGCACCCAGTACCTCTAGCTGTGTGGTTTCAGTGCCCTCCCCACTATGGCGGTGATTTCACATTTTTTGTTTGGTTGCTTATTTATTTTTGTTTTTGTTTTGCTTTGTTGTTTTTTTGAGTCAGGGTATCACTATGTAGTTGAGACTGGCCTAGAACTCACTATGTAGCCCAGGCTGGTCTCAAACTCACAGTGATCCTCCTGCCTCAGCCTCCCAAGTGCTGGGATCACAGGTGTGTGCCACCACACCCAGCTGCTTATTTGGTTTTTGAGACAGTGTCTCTCCTACGTAGCCCAGGCTGCCTTTAAGCTCACCACAGTCCTCCTGCCTCAGCCTCCTAGTGCTGGTATAGGTGTGGCCACCAGGCTTGACTGATAATATTTGTTGAGTGACCAAATCTCCCATTTATTGATGTGAAGACTTGGGTCCAGAGGTAGCAGAAGCACTAAATGATCCAGGCCACAAGGCACTGCTCAGTCTTTGCTTGGCTTTCTGCAGGCATCTGGTCAGCAGCTGTGGATGGAGACCTGGGCCGAGTAAAGTCTTTCATCCAGAAGGCCGCGGACCCCAGCCAGCCCGACTCAGCTGGCTACACCGCCCTGGTGAGGGTCGGAAGGGGGCACTCGACAGGCGATTGCCACCTCTCCGAGGAGGGGACCATTGCTCACCTGTGTCTTCTGTGCCATGATTTGGCTTAGTGTCTCTAGAGGCCCGCGTGTCCAAGCCTGGTCCCAGAACCACCAGGGCTGGGGTGTTGGTACCTTAGCAGGGGCTGGAAGAAGGAAGTTAGGCCACTAGGGGCACACCTGCCTCAGAGGCATCACTGGGACTCTGAACCCTGGCTGCCATGACATGAGTGACATGTCAACACAGGACAGGCACGAATGAAACCAATGTGAAGCCAGAGCTGGGGTGGACCTCCCCCATTCATTTTATTTGTGGTGCTGGGGCTTGGACTCAGGGCTTGGCAGTCCACCAAGATCTATATCCCCAGCTCAACAGCCCGCTCTCTCTCTCTCTCTCTCTCTCTCTCTCTCTCAGTTCTGGGGACTGAACCTAGGTGCTTCACAGTGAGCTATATCCCCAGCCCACTTTTTATTTTTTCCTTTAAGACAAGATCTTGCTAAGGTGCCCAGGCTGGGCTTGAATTTACAATTCTCGTACCTCAGCCTTCCAGAGTACTAGGATTACAGGCATGGTAGGATATGCCCATTATTTTCCCCCAAAACAGGGTCTTGACATGTGGTCTAAGCTGGTCTTGAACTTGCTTTGTAACTCAGGCTGGCATCAAACTCACAATCTTCCTGCCTCATCCTTCTGATTGCTTTTTAAATTTCCATATATTAAGGAAAATGTAATAGTTGTCTGAATGTGGCTTATTCCACTTGGTGTGATCATCTCCAGACCATCTGTTTTCCGGCAAATGGATTTTATTCTTTTTTTTTTTTTTTTAATGGCTGAATGATATTCTGTTGTGTGTGCACGTTAACATTTTCTTATTCATTTATCCACTGATGGACATCATACGTTGGCCACTGTGAATTGTGTTGCAATAATCATGCAGGTGTCCTCGTAGTGTGCTGACTTTAATTCCTTCAGGTGTGTGCAAAAGAGTTGTACAACTAGATCAATTGATAGCTCTGTTTTTAGGTTTCGAGGACCCTCGATGCTAATTTCCATTGTGGCTGTACTTTTACATTCCCACGGCAGTGTAGGAAGGTTCCTTTCTTCCCACATCTGCACCAGCATTATTGTTTTCTGTGGATTTTTTTCTGTTTTTTGTTTTTGGTACTCGGGATCAAACTCAGGACCTTTCACTTGCAAGGCAGGTGGCAGAACCACTGAGCTAAATTCCTAGACCTTGTTTTCTGTGTTCTCCATGAAAGCCATTCTGACTGGGGTGAGGTGGGGTCTCAAAATATTTATTTGTTTATTTGTTTATTTATTTTTGAGACAGCATCTCACTGTGTAGCTTAGGCTGGCCTCGAACTCACAGTCCTGCCTCAGCTTCTGAAGTGCTGGGATTACAGGCGTGCACCACCATGCATGTCCAGTCCAGTGTAGTTTTTTTTTTGTTGTTTTTTTTGAGACAGGGTCTCACTGTAGTTGAGACTGACCTGGAACTCACTGTGTAGCCCAGGCTGGTCTCGAACTCACAGCGATCCTCCTGCCTCAGCCTCCCGAGTGCTGGGATGACAGGTGTGCGCCACCACACCTGCCAGCCCAGTGTAGTCTTGATTTGCATTTTCCTAATGGCTAAGGACAGTGAACCTTTCTTACATACTTATTGGCCATCCGTGCCCCTTCTTAGAGTTCTCTGTTGCATTCACTAGCCCATGAGTGCTGGGCTGTTTCTCCTGTGGCCTGGCTGTGAAGCCCTGAGGCCAGCGCCCCATCTTGCAGGCTTTCTGCTCACTCTGCTCCGGCCTGTGGAATCTGTCCCATCCTTGACTGTTACTCGTTCCCCGTTCTGCTGCAGTCCTAGCCAGGAAGGTGTCCCCATGCCTGTAGCTTACCCTCCCTTTCTTCCAGCACAATTCCTTATTTATTTTTGTACCAGGAATTGAACTCAAACCTTGTGTTTGCCTGGCGGGTGTGGCAAATCCTTTTTAGGAAGCCAGCGCCGGCACCTGCTGGGCATCGCTCTGCAGCTGCTTTATGGCACCATCTGTGACATCTCCGGGAGGGAGGGAGGGGAAGCTGAGGGTGGGGATGCAGCACCTTGCTCAACAGGTGCCACTGCTGCTGGGCAGCTCGGAGGTGACTGTGGGACCTGTGTCCTTGCCATCGTGCTACCCTTGCCACAGGCCTGGGCTCTGTCATCTGACCTGGGTCTCTGCTCCCTGCAGCACTATGCAAGCCGCAATGGGCACTACGCCGTGTGCCAGTTCCTGCTGGAGAGTGGGGCCAAGTGTGATGCCCAGACCCATGGGGGTGCTACAGCTCTGCACCGCGCCAGCTACTGCGGCCACACAGAGATCGCTCGGCTGCTGCTCTCACACGGCTCTGACCCTCGGCTGGTAGATGATGACGGCATGACCAGTCTGCATAAGGTTGGTCCCTTTTCCCTGCCAACACTTTCTTCTTTTTGTTTTTTTTTTTTTTTGAGACAGGGTCTCTCTACACAGTCCAGGATGGCCTTGAACTCATAGTGATCCTCCTACCTCAGCCACCGCTACATCCAGCCCCAAAACTTTTATTCTGTAAATTATAACATGCTGGGATTTGGGGGGTGCATGCCTATAATTCCAGCACTTGGGATGCTGAGGCAGGAGGATTGCCACCAGTTCAAGGGCAGCCACAAGCTCAAGGGCATCCCGGGCTACACAGTGAGCTCAAGGACAGCCTGAACTATATAGTGAGACCCTGTCTTAAAAACAAACAAGCCGAGCGTGGTGGAGCATGCCTGTAATCCCAGCACTCGGGAGGCTGAGGCAGGAAGATCGTTGTGAGTTCGAGACCAGCATGGGCTACATAGTGAGTCAGTCTCAACTACATAGTGAGACCCTGTCTCAAAAAAAACAACAACAAAAAAGCAAACAAAAGGCTAAGGATTTAGCTCAGTGATACCTTGCTTGCCTCACAAGGGCAAGGTCCTCAGTTCAATCTCCTGTACCACAAAAAAAGCAAACAAAAAAAGAAGTTATAACATACCCAACAGAAAGATGGAGGGGGAAAAAGAAATCGATGCTCACTTCTTACCACTTCAGGATGAATGCATGTTCCTCCAGCCTCTTCCTGTGCATGTGGCCAAAAGTGCACCTCGCCCTTTTAGGTTTCTTTCCCTCATGTGTAATCCGCTTCTGAAACCTGTGCTCCTCCTCCCCATCCCTGCTGTCTGCTGTTGAGGTCAGAGCCACAGTGATCTTTTCATTGGATGTTCTGACCAGAGATACCCACACGGTTAGCAGTCCGAGAAAGCAGAGTACACTGGGAAAACAGGCTTCCCTCCCGCCCTGACCTCCTTCCCCTCCTTTAGAGCATCTACCTCACTGATTCCTTCGGCATCTATAAGAGGGCGAGTGTGTGTGTGTCACTGGGGACTGAATCCAGGCCTTTCACACTGACCTACATCCCCTCCCCTTTTCATTTTTTATTTTTGAGACAGAGTCTCACTGAGTTGCCCAGGGTGAGCTCAAACTTGAGATCCTCCTGCCTCAGCCTCCCAGAATGCTGGGATTGCAGGTGTGCTAAGTGGGGATGTGGCTTCCACTCATGTATGGCATATGTGTACAAATATATTCCTCTCTTGCTCTCACTTTGATTTTCCCCCAGAGCAGTAGTTTTAAGAGTCTGATGAGCCCTACCCTCCCTCCAATCCCCAGAGACTTTCATACAGAGCCATCTGCAAGACCTGGGGTCATCACCCACCCACCTCTCCAGCCTCATCCTGATCTGCCCTTGTCCCCTACACATCTGTTATTTTCAATTCTTGTTTTTGTTTTGTTGGAACTGGGTCTCACTATGCAGTTCAGGCTGGACTTGAACTTACTATGTAGCCCAGGCTGGCTTCGAAGTCACAGCAAACCTCCTGCCTCGGCCTCCCAAGTACTGGGATTACAGGTGTGCATTACCAGGCCTGGCTAGTGCTTTACTTTTTGTAAAAACATTCCTTGGGATGAATGTGTCTTGCAGCTGCCTGCAGAACACCCCCACCTGGTGGAGGCAGCAAGGTTGGGAGTCTCGAGTCCCAGCTCTTTATGAAGCTCTGCATAGCAAGTTCTGGGTTCAGGCTTGGGATGTGGGCCGCCCTGGGGAGGAGGAGGCAGCAGAGAGGTGACAGTTACCCAGAGTGCAGACCTTGAAGTCACAGAAATCTGGCCTAGACGCCTGGGCTGCCCTGGGACCTGGGGGTGGGGCTGGGTCACTTACTGTGGAACCCGGATCTCTTCCTGTGTGAACTGGGGACAGTGGAACTGACTCTGAGGGGACAGTGAGAGGAAGCCATATGCAGAGCCCACCTCATGTCCCTCCTGTTTGGAGGAGGCCAGAAATGAGTGTCTGGGGTGGGCGATAGAGGAGAGGAGAGAGCTGGGCAGGCATGCCTAGGTCGTCCCTGCACAGCTTGGCAAGCCCAAGGATAGCTAGCGACTGTGCCCACCAGCATATGGGGCATCTGTGGGTGCTGATGGTGATTAAGGTCCGGGCGTGGACATACGATGTGCAGGTCTGGCTGGAGAAAGCAGGACCACAGGGTAGAGGGCATGAGAGAGGTCTGGCTGACAGCCCCGCTGGCATGGTTGCTTTGCCAATCTGTGCAAGGCCCCAGATTGGGTGCAGTAAGACATCGCTCATGTCTCCCATTTCCATAAGCCCCCTGCTTTAGGAGCAGAAGTTCCCCGAAGCAGAGCAGCACCAGTAGGACCTCTGGTGCTACCTGTTAATGGGCTTCTTTCTCTGCAGGCTGCTGAGAGGGGACACGAGAACATCTGCTCCCTGTTGCTGCAGCATAGCCCAGCCCTGAAGGCCATCCGGGACCGGAAGGCACGACTCCCCTGTGACTTGCTGCCAGGCAACAGTGCCCTGTGGGACCTGCTGGCCAGCTAAGGTGACAGCACCCAGATGAGGAGCAGATACTGTGCCACACTGCCCCACCTGCTTGGCATCCATGCAGGGTGAGGAGCGCACCAGGAGACCCGGGGCCACTTCTGGCCAGGGTGGCAGCCAGGGAGAGGCCAGCAGGGTCAGCAGCATTTAAACTGGGACAATCTCATTCTCAAGTTATTCCTATGGAAACTTCTCCCCACTTGGAAAAATAAAGTTATCTCCTTACCTCACCTCCCCATACACAAGGGTGAGTGCTGGGATTGAACCCTAACCCTAAGAACACAAAACTGAGTTGGCGAAGAGGTGGACGGTGTGACTGGCTCAGCCACCGCAGCAACAGGGTGCTTCAGCCTCCGTTTCTAGCTTCTCATCCGGGAGCTGGGCGTGGTCACCACAGGGTGGCTCTGGGGACCCGGCTAGGGTGCTTTGGAGATTCTAGGCACATTGCAAGCACACCTGAGTACCTGGGGCCCTCGGCCACGCAGCCCTGGTGCAGAGTCCATTGCCCAGTGTCCCACAGGGGGGGCTGCACGCCTGGCGCTCTGGACCTCCCAGCAGTGCCCATTTAAATGTTTTTACTGAGTCAGAGAAGTGCTTTATTTTCTAGATATTGATCCTTGCACTCGTGAGGCGAGTGGCAGAACCACTGAGCTAAATACCTGGCCCAGTTTGCATTCTTACGTACATTGCAATAACTATTTAAGCGAGCAGGGCCAGTGATCTGACTCGTCTGTAGCTACCCAGGCACGTCCATCTGTGATCACAAAGCTGTCTGTTTACAGGGCATTTACAAAGGTGTGTAAAGGTGGGGCTGGTGTGGCTTCGTGGCACCGCCCTTGTCTAGCATGTGCATGGCCCTGGGTTCCATCATCTGCACCGCAGCAGATACCACCACCTGTCTTCCCAGCACTCTGGGAGGCTGAGCCAGGAGGATCGCAAATTCAAGGCAGCCTGGGAAAATTGGTGACTTAGCAAGACCTTGTCTCAATAAATAAATAGTAACAAGGGGATGCAGCTCAGTGTGAAGGACCTGGGCTCAAAAACTGGCCTGCTCCCCCAGAGGGAAGGCTCAGGTTCTGCAGACACCCCAGAGGGCAGTGAGTGTGGGGGTGAGCACTAAGCTGTGTCCGCAGTGCGATGCTTCTGCAGACGCATGGTACACACAGGAGACTGCGGGGCGCACATTCAGTTGGCACCATGGTTTCCCCCGGCTGCTGTGGAAGAATGGTTGGGCAAGGTCTCAAGGTTCATGTTTGGACTTTTTATTGGGAATATTTTAAAATATTCTGTGGTACTGAGAACCAAACCCAGGGGTGCTCTGCCGTTAAGCTACACTTACCCTTTTAGTTTTTATTTTGAGACAGGGTCTAAGTTGCTCGGGCTGGGCTTGAAGTGGCCATCCTCCTGACTCAGCCTCCTGGGTAGCTGGGATTACAGGTGTACGGGATGACCTAGCTAGGAGTTTGTTTTGTTTTTTGTTTTTTGGGTACCAGCGATCGAACTTGAGACCTTGCGCTTATGAGGCAGGCTGTGGAACCACAGCTAAAACCCCAGCCAAGGAATAATGTATTTTTTAAAGTCAGTTAACAGTTTCATGTGGGACATGCTGGATTTCTACTAAGAATTTCAGATGAAGCCCACTGTTGCAAAACACCCTTGTCCTCAAATGTTGAAAGGGAGGAATTGAGTTGGCATGCACTGTGGGTGCAGAGCCAAAGCCTGACTTCCTTATCTACTCCCATTCCAGTCTGGTTAACTCTTTCTCTTCTCAAAGAACAGTGGGAACAGAGCTTTAAAAGGCTGTGGGGCCAGGCATGGTGGCACACGCCTATAATCCCAGCTGTGGGATTATAGGGGATTACTGGGGAAGCTGAGGCAGGAGGATCGCTGTGAGTTCAAAACCAGCCTGGGCTACAAAGTGAGTTCCAGGTCAGTCTCCACTACACAGTGAGACCCTGTCTCAAAGAAAAAAAAAAAGGCTGTGGGGGCTGCAGCTATAGCTTAGTGGTAGAGCACAACTAAACACAAAAAATGCCCAGTACCAAGGGGAAAAAAAATTCTGGATCTGCAAGGCTCCTGTCAAAAGGGAGCTCCTGCACCTGCCAGCCCCGAAGGTGGGACCCCTGGCAGCACTCTGACCTTGGCTGTCTAATTTCCTCAAAGTCAAGAAGAGATCAAAGCCCTGATGGGTGGAGACTGCATGTGGCCTCTGAAGGAGAGGGAAGAAATTTGATCTCATGGCTGGAGACAGACTGCCTTACAGGTGGTTACTGGACTGTTTTGTTTTTGAGACAGGGTCTTATTGTAATTCAGGCTGGCCTGAGATTCACTGTGTATCCCAGTCTCCAAGTGATAGGGTCACAGGTGTATGCCACCACACCCAACTTATTACACAGCAGGACCTGATGCAGCTCTCAGTCCCTGTCCCTGTGAAGGGCACTGTGTGCCCAGAAAGCACGTGTAGGGACCTACACGGGACACAGACGACATCACCAGAGGCCTGAGGGCTGGGCCCCGGCCAGGCCTTGCTCCTGAGGTGGGGTGTGCACAGTGGCACAGAGGGGAGGTGGAAATCAGATGAGCCTGGCTGCAGATTCCTCAGGCCATATGTCAGCTTCTTCCTCTGTCCCTCTGGAGGTCCTCCCGGGGACTCACTCCTTGTCCTTGTCCTTGGGACAGCTGAGCCGGGTCTTCTCAGTGGTGTAGGTGGCCATACCTGTACCATGGAGGCAGGAGCTGGACCCCTCCCAGGGGCTCCAAACCTAGGACAGACAGTACCCCCATCGGGGCTGGTGGCTCAGGTACCCCAGCGTGGAGGATGGGGGTGGCAGGGAGGTGGCCTTGCCCTCAGCAGGACACATTCCCAGGTGGGTATTTTGGTCCGTGTGACAGGCCCCCAGAGTCATCTGGCCTTGGCCGCCCCAGGGAGTCAGCTCCCCTATAAAAGGGCCCATTGACGACGTGCTCCTCTGGCGGTGTCGTGGAGAGCAGGGGGGGACCATGGACTTCATGAGCATTCAGCAGTTGGTAAGGACGGGCTCTGGCTCTTGCTGGCCTAAAGCTGGGGCTGTGGGGATGAGGTGGTGAGGGGATGGGGAGCGAGAGACAAATGGAAGGCAGCAGGTGGGGTGCAGGGGATGGGAACCAGGGCCTTGGCAAGCTAGGCTGTGCTGCTGGGCTACACCACGGCTCAGGTACGCTGTTCTGTCCTGCACTGAGAGGTTGAGAAGGGATAGGAGTGCAAGGCTGCTTTGGAAGTCATGGCGGCATCCTATTCCCAGCACCGTGACAGTCCCTGGAAGCATCCAGAGGGTCTGGCTGCTTTGGTGGCCTGAGGATGTCCCTGGGTTTCCTGGCTGTGACGATCTGGAGTTCAGTTTGTCAGGCTCAGTTTATGGGGTCCAGCAGTGGCCCAGCCACCCCCACTTTGGCATAGCCCCTGCCAGGAGGCGATTCCAAGGCCAGGAGCCTTAGGGTACTTCAGAGGAAATTTAGTTCTCCTCTGCTGGAAGCCCTGGGCAGTGCTACCCCACAATTCCAACCCTTCTTTTCCTTGAACTGTACTTTCCCAAGTGCAGCCACCAGCTGGTGTGCCTGGGGATGTTTGCCGACAAATGCCAGAAGCTCCCACCACCTTCACGGCACCCTCAAAGTGCCAACGTGAGCCCATTTTATAGATGTGGAAACACTGCTTCCCAAAGCCAAAAGTGGGACCTAGGGAGCCAGAATTGTCCCCAGAGGCATCTCCTCTGTCCCTCCGAGCCTGGGGTCAGGTGACAAGAGTAGCATGATCTGCTAGCAGCCCAGGAGGGAAGTTGATGTCTGCCCCCAGACTCCCAGAGACAAGGGCATGCATGTAAAAATAGCCACGGCTGCCTGCACAGCTAGGCCCTGGGATCCTGCTGACAGAACAAGTAGGTGGTGGCAGTTGGCCCCTGGGCCTTGGGTGTCACCACAGGTGTTGGGTGCTCGCCAGTGCTGCAGACGGCCAGGAAGCTTGGGGGAGGACAGCCCTCATCTGTGGTCCAGGTCAGCTCCCGCAGCCATCAAAACTTTTTCTTTCTTTTTTTTTTTTTTGGTTGTGTTTTTTGAGACAGGGTCTCACTATGCAGTTGAGACTGACCTGGAACTCACTTATGTAGCCCAGGCTGGTCTTGAACTTGCAGTGATCCTCCTGCCTCAGCCTCCTGAGTGCTGGGATTACAGGTGTGAGCCACCACACCTGGCTAAAACTCTGTTCTGTTTTCTCTCTCTCTCTCATTCAGCAGTGGGGATTGAACCCAGGGAGCACTAAGCTACACCCCAGCCTTTTTAAGATAGGGTCTTGTTAAATTGCCCAGACTGGGCTTGGATTTGCAATCCTCTTGCCTCAATCTCACAACTGTTTTCTAAGAGTCCCTCCAGCTCTCCTGATTCTCTGTCCACATCCTGTCCACAGGTGAGTAGAGAAAGAGGTGAAGGGAAAGTGTTGGGGTTCAGACATGCAGCTCCCGGTCCCGGAGGCTGGCCTTGTGACTGGAGGCTGGGCCCCCATGAGGCAGTGGCCCAGGAGAAGCTGAAACAGGAGGAAGAGAAGAAGAGAGTAAGTGACACTGGTTGGGATGACAGCAGGTACCGTGTGGGCATCCTGAGCACTGGGTGTCCTTTTTGGACAGTGCAGACCAGGATCAAACTGGCTGAGGACCTGTCCCCGAGGTCCCCTGCACTAGGGTTGATGCCTGGCCTAGTCTTGTCTTCTCACTTTCTGCCCTAGATGGAAAAATTCAACAGCTCCAGAATGAATCTGGAGACACTGACAGACTTAGAAAACTTGATTCAAAGACGGAGAGAAAAGCGACTAAGACGCAGAGTCCCCCCCAAGGAACCTGAGCCCGAGGCTGCGGTGAGAAGCCGGGGATGGTGCTTCCCATCACTGGGGGACGGGGGGAAGAGGGCGATACTGGAGCCACACTGCGCAGCTGTGCCTGGCAGTCTGCTGGGTGACCAGGGGGAAGGGCCCAGCTATCTCGAGGCTCTGTGGGCTGCAGGTCAGGTCAGCAGGCTGGTTCCTGTGCTGTTCTGCCTGTGCCCCTTGTTACAAGGACACTGGTTCCACAGTAGAACTTCCTCTGGCACCATCATACTGGAAATATGACCTACTCCAGTATAACCTCAATTAGCCATCTGCAAGGACCTTGTTTCTAAGTAGGGTCACATCCCAAGGTACCAGGGCTGGGACTGCAGTGTGTGAATGTGGGGGTACAACACACACCTCGTTGTCTGTTGAGAATCTCCTGGGAGACTGAAAATCAGAACTGTACTCACCCAGGCCCACAGCGTGCTGGTCCTGTCTGTGCTTGGAGCCCCTGGGCCAGGATGGGGACGCTGTTGTCATGGCTGCCTGCTAGCTTGGGGAGTGACTCAGGGAGTGACGTGGCCTCGTCCATCCGCTCACCCAGCCACAGCCCCAAGGCCAGCTGGAACCCGTGGACCTGGAGATGTTCCTGAAGGCAGCAGCTGAGAACCAGGAGTCCCTGATTGACAAATACCTGACAGATAGAGGGGATCCCAGTGCCCATGACAAGGTAGTGTGGGCAGGTGACATGCATGCTGTCCTGTGCACCCTGGTCCTGGCCGGGGACTTGGGCTCATGGGCTCAGATGTCATGGCATGTGAGCGGGAAGGGGGAGGCCCCTGACTCGGTGGCAGGATGGGGGACGTCGGGGGACCTGCTCTGGGCAGGGGTGGGTGGCTGTGCTCCCTCTGCCTCACCTGTCTCACCTCAGCTGCACCGCACAGCCTTGCACTGGGCCTGCCTGAGGGGTCACGGCCAGCTGGTGAGCAAGCTGCTGGCAGCCGGGGCCACCGTGGATGCACGTGACCTGGTGAGCACCGGTGAGGGCCCTGACTCCGGCCACCCCTGCTCAGCATCACACACTGAGAGCGGCTCCTTGTGTTGCAGCTGGGCAGAACCCCTGTGTTCTGGGCCTGCCAGGGAGGACACCTAGACATCCTCAAACAGCTGCTAAACCAGGGAGCCCAGGTCAACGCCCAGGACAAGGTGAGGGAGCAGGCACCTGAGTGGGTGGCCATCAGCACGGGGGAGCAAGCAGGCCCTTTGGACCAGGACCCCTCTCTGACCCCGTCCTCCTAGATCTGGAGCACCCCCCTCCATGTGGCAGTGCGGACGGGCCACTCTGACTGCCTGGAGCACCTCGTGGAGTGTGGGGCCCACATTGACGCACAGGACAAGGTAGGCGCTGGATCTTTTGGGGAACTGGGTAAAGGGGCTGCCTGAGCGGCCCGCCCAAGGCCCAGCATGCAGACAGGTGACCTCCCTTCTCCACAGGAGGGGGACACAGCTCTCCACGAAGCCGTGCGCCACAGCCACTACAAGGCCATGAAGCTGCTGCTGCTGTACGGGGCCAAGCTGGGTGTGCAGAATGTGGTGTGTGTGGCTGGCACGGCCTGGGGTGGGGCGAGGCTGGGGACGGAGGACTGAGTCAGCACCCTTGTTCCAGGCCTTCCTGACCCCCGTGCAACTGGCCCGAGACTGGCAGCGGGGCATCCGGGAAGCACTGCAGGCCCACATGGGGCACCCCCGCATGCGGTGCTAGGAGCACGGACCCATGGGGTCACTCAGTCGCCATTCCAGCCCCCGAACCTCAGTTCTCGGCTTCAGTCCTGTTCCTCTCCGGCCTGAGGCGCTGCGATTCCTGCTGGGCTGGGGCTGGGATGGGCTGAGGCAGGGACCACAGGCAGCAGGTGGCAAAGTGGGCTTATGGAGCTGGGCACAGAGCAGGAGCAAGGCTGGAGCAGGAAGTGAGCAAGCTGTGCTGGAGACCACATCTGAGCCTCAGCTCGGGAGACCAGTTCAGTGAAGGGCAAGGTCTGATCTCCCACACAGTGGAGCAGAGGTGGCCGGCAGCTGCACCCCAGACACACAAGACCAGGCCAGGCCAGGCTGGCGCAGGCACTGGTGTGGCTGCTGCCACCCCAGGTGGGTCTCTGGGCTGTTGGCAGTGGTTGCCTGATGGGTCTAGAGTGGCTCTGGTCCTTAGGACTTGGTGGGCTCTGGGGTCCGTAGGGCCCTCAGCAGGCTTGAAACCCTCAGGACACCAGAACCCTCCAGGTTACCTCAGGGGCCGAGGACCAGTGAGCCAAGACCAGCACCCATTTGGAGACTATGCCCACCCTGTCCAAAGGCTTCTCAGGCCAGCCAGTGGGTTTCCTCCTGGAGCTGGAGAGCCCAGCGCTAGGGTTGCTTGCGGCCCACTCAGGTCCTGAGGTGGAGGCCCGCAACCCTGGCTTCCCCAGGGCTCTGCTGCCCCCTGGTGCTGGAGCCCTGCAGCTGCTGCGGCCTCTGCTCCACCTCCCTCCCCCACTGGCAGCTCCCTGAGCTCTGTGCCCAGCAGGCAGCAGGGCAGGAAGGGACACGTGGACACCCACCTGCCTTGGCCTGTGGTCCCCACTCTGCACCTCTTCCTGAACGGCTCCCTCTCCCACTCCCCCTCGGTAGACCTGTACACTGGCAGGGATGGCTCCTCAGATGCTCAACAGAACTACAGGCTGGAGGAGGGCGAAACAAGAGGCCCAGCCTCCCTCATGTGGTCCTGGGTCATACACAGCACCCAGGGTGGCTTCCATTCAGCAGCAGTTATTCCTAGTGTAACCAGGTGGCCTTTTTAGGCCAGAACAAGGCTACACTAGCATGTGAAAAGGCTGATGTACGCCTGCTCTGGGCCACACACCTGTCCATGGGCAGTTCCTGCCCTGCGGTGGCAGAGCCAGTGTGCACCATGACACAGGTGCTATGGGTGAAACAGGCACTTAAATCTACGGCGATGACAAGTCCTGAAGTGACAGGCAAAAGCACCTTTTTATACGGATCAGTACCTTTTGTTCATTAAAATGGCTACCTATCACAGCCTAGTCATCCTCTTTCTGGAAGAAGCCAGTGTATTGGTCACCAGGGACAGCCTGGTAGGCCCAGGGCCAATGAAACTCAGCAGCCTGACACAAAGGCCACCCAGCACAGCAGCCTTGGTGTGGGGGCCTAGTGCCTGGTGATTCTCTCTTGGCGTCCCATTGCACAGATGGGCGAGTTCAGAGGGCAGCAGCAGTCGGTAGCCTCAGCTGCTTGTCAGAACCACCAGTGCGCTTTGTAAAGTCCTGATGTCCAGAGCCTTAGGTCAGTGGACAACACGCTCATCTGCATATACCAGGAAATCCGAAGACATCTGCCTAAAATGCCCATTTAGACAGAGAGTTCAGCAAGATCTCAGGATACAACATAAACACATAACAATCTATTTTTCTCTATCAGCAACATGGACATAAAGGTTAAAAACATGAGCATATACCTGTTTAGGAAAATGAGATACTTAGGGTTAAATCAGGTAAGGAAGGATGCTGAAACCTACAAACCAAAATGAAATCAATATTTATATAAATGAAGACAGACCACATTCATAGATTGAAAGATCAGTTAAAAAAGATGTCACAACTGTTGAAATCTAAGGAAAACCTTTAGCAGATAGACAAGATCATTCTAGAATTATTGTAAAATTTGTAAAAAAAATTAGAGAATAATTTTGAAAAGAAGTTGGACAAGGTAGTCTGGTCTACTGGTCTGTAGACTTCCTGTACAGGTACAATAAGCAAGAGAGTGTAATATGAAGAAAAAAAGTGCAATATGACAGAGGGGCACACAAGACAACCTAGAAATAGAACCACACAAAAATGCCATTTTTTTAGTACTGCAATTTGAACCTCAGCCTCACACATGCTGGGAAAGTGTTCCACCACTCAGCTACATGCCCAGCCCTTTATCCATTTTTTTTTTTTTTTTTTTTTTGGTACCAGGGATTGAACTCGGGTCCTTGTGCTTGCGAGGCAGGACACTGAACCGCTGAGCTAAATCCCCGGCCCTTTTTCCATTTTGAGACAGGGTCTAAGTGGCTCAGGCTGGCCTCAAACTTGCAGTCTTCCTGCTCAGTCTCCTGAGTAACAGGGGTGCCAGCCATCTACCACCCCATGTGGCAAAGGCACAAAAGCCATTTGACTGCCGGGGGTGGGGTGGGAGCAGCTGCATTTTGAACAAATGGCAGTGGAATAGCTAGGCACCTGTAGGCCTTAAGAACCAAAATATGAGCAATGACCTAAGTCTTCTAACTTGTGACCAAGATTAATGCACAAGTCACAAATTCAAACGTAAAACATAAAACTTTTAGCCAGTCGTAGTGGTGCATGCCTTAATTCCAGCTCCTCAGGAGGCTGAAGCAGGACTAAATTCAAAGCTACCTTGGGCAGCCAGGCGTGGTGGTGCACACCTGTAATACCAGCACCCAGGAGGCTGAGGCAGGAGGATCGCTGTGAGTTCAAGACCAACCTGAGCTTCACAGTTCCAGTTCAGTCTCAACTACGTAATAAGACCCTGTCTCAAAAAACAACAAAACAGAAACAAAGCTACCTTGGGCAACTTCATGAGATCCTTTCTGAAAATAAAAAAAATGAATAAAAGGGCTTAGGGTATAGCTCATTGGTTCCTGGCTTCAATCCCATCAACAAAACACAAAACAGAGACAACTTTTAGGAAATGTAGGTAACAGCTAGATCTAGGACTAGGTAAAGGACTTTAGATGTGATGCTAAAAGCACAATGCATGAAAGAAAAATTGGTAACGTCATCAAAATTTTACAACTCTTATATAAGGCTGTTGAGATGAACATACAGGCAGTGCCTGTCTGTCACTGTGACAAAGTACCTGCAGCAGTTGACTTCCAGGAGGTTTTTGGGGCTTATGGTTTCAAAGGTTTGGGTCTGTGTCCACTGTGGCCCTGTTCTGCTGGACTGCACCCATCATGGCAGAGGCCCCAGGTTCCCTGAGGGCAGCCCTGAGCAGGCTGTTCCAACAGTGCTGCAGGACAGGGACAAAATCTTCCTACAAGCCTTTGGGGATGATTCACATGGACACCCTAACCCCACAGACCATGACAAAATATTTACCAGCCAAAAACTCAGACTTTTGTATTTAGAATGTATCAGGAACTCTCAAGTCTGAAAAACCTATTCCACTGTTGGCACATGCCTGTAACCCTAGCAGTTGGGAGGCTGAGGCAGGAAGATCATGAGCAGCAAGGCTACACAGTTTTAAAAGCCTGTCTCCAACAAAAAGGAAAAAGCCAATTTGGCAGCACGTAAATAGGGACAGACAGGAAAAAGGGAAATGCAAATGAAAGCCACAGGAAAGAACCTGTGCAGACCTATCAGACAGTGACGGGGACAGCAGTGACTCCACCGGGTGGCCACGAGGCTGGATCGCCCTGCGCTGCAGGGAAGAATGAAAGATTGTACAGCCACACTAGAGTTCAGCAGTTTCCTTTTGACCAGAACACGTGACCACATGACCCAGCGAGAGCACTCCCATGCTTATCCCAGAAGCAGCGAGGCCTTCTCCACACGGACCAAGTGGTTGTTTGTAGCAGCTTTATTTGGAACTGCCCCTCAGCGGACACCACCGCATGTCCTTTGAGGGGATAAGCGTTCCATGGGAGACCGTCTGGCAACAAAGAAGGGATGAACTGCTGTCACACACGACGACCTGGGACAGCTCCAGAGAACACGAGGGGAAAGCAACCTCAGACGTCACACTGTGTGAGTCCATGGACTTTCTCGAAATGACAACAGAACAGAGATGAACAGGTTAACGGTCGGGGGTTAGGGCTGGGATGGCACTGACAGGGAAGTCCGAGGGACAGCCTGGTGGTGAATGACGAGACAGTTCGCATGGGACTGTGGTGGCAGTCACAAAACTACACGTGTGTCAACTGATGTGGAATCTACAGCCACAGCCCACCAGGCCAAGTCTGGTTCGGAGACGGCATCATCACTGCCTAAGATGCAACTATTTAGGCAGACCAGCTAAAGGGCCTGGGGGACCTCTAGCTTGGCAACTTCCTATGAATCTAATCACTTAAAAATAGGAAAAAATATCGGTGTAAGTGCAACTTAGTATTTCAGATTGGATCCTGCAACACAAAAAGGACATTACTGGGAAAAACGGTAAAACTCAAAACAAAGTCTGCAGTTAAGAGTATTGCACGAATGTTACCTTTTTAGTTCTGATAAATGTACCAAGGTTATGCAAGATGTTAACGTCAGGGGAAGCTGGGTGAAGGGCATATAGAACTCTTCTGAGAATATACAACGATTTAAAAAATTAACCCCTGGTGCCCAGAATTACAAGTTCCAGGAGTGGGTCCACAGGCCCCATATTTCATTTTCCAGATGAGTCCAAGGTCCAGCCAAGGTCCAGAACCACTGTTCTAGACAGAGATGATTTGAAAGTGTCTACTTCCCCTTGAGTGAGTTCTCGGAACACATTCCTGGAGAAGTTTCTAAGCAAATGCCCCACTGTTCTTTTGCCCTCTGGTCTCACTAAGAACGACCCAAATTCTCTCGAGAGGCTCCTGAAATCCTCATCTCTCCCTCCCCAATCTGTTACTCCCGTCTCTGTGACACCTGCTTTCCAATAGCTGAAGTTAGAAAAGTAAGACAGAGACATAGCCTCCTTGTTCCGACTTCTCTAAAACAGCCCCGGTAGAACAGGGAAGGCCAAAGAACTGGAACTGTTTCAAAGACGTAAGAAAAACCTTGGTTTCTCTTTTTGAAGGACAGGTGTGTAGACACCCTAGTCACTGACAAGGTTTACGCCCCTGGCTTTCTGCACAGCCGGGCCGCCCACCTCTGTGGAGGCCCTTGGGAAGGGGATAGGAGAGGCACTACAGTAGCCACTCTGCTTCAGGGACAGACCACTGACAGATGCAGCCAGAAGACCGCTCTCCCATGCGAGACCTGTCCTCAGTATCCGACGCTGATCATACTGAGTGGCAATCAAGCATGGTGGGGAAGAGTGAGCTGGCTGCATGGGCCTCCTCCAAACAACCAGAGTGGCCTGCTGCAGGCAACACGGGGCAGGACTGGGGACGGGCTTCTGGGAATCACGCTTCTCTGGCTTTGGCACTGGGCACTGTAAGGGAAGCCAGAGAGGACACCATGGACAAGGCTGTAGCCTGGAATCCAGGTTAACACGGGTACTCTCCATGGGCTGCAAAGGTGATGACAGCAGCAGGCTTGGCTGACTCAGAGCAAGGCAGGCACGGGTCTCAGCCTTCGCGGAAGGCAGTGACTGCACACACAGTGCCCGGTTTGAAGAGGTATAATACGCTGCAGCTGCAGCAGTGGAGTGGGCTGGCCTGGGGACGCAAGATGCGGCTGTTCCCATCCGTGTTCCTTCAGAATGGCCAGGACAGCCGGGCGTGGTGGCGCACGCCTGTAATCCCAGCACTCAGGAGGCTGAGGCAGGAGGATCGCTATGAGTTCAAGACCAGCATGGGCTACATAGTGAGTTCCAGGTCAGTCTCAACTACTTAGTGAGACAAAACACAAAAAAATCCCCAAAAAACCAAAAAACAAACAGAATGGCCAGGACAGCCGGGCGTGGTGGCGCACGCCTGTAATCCCAGCACTCAGGAGGCTGAGGCAGGAGGATCGCTATGAGTTCAAGACCAGCATGGGCTACATAGTGAGTTCCAGGTCAGTCTCAACTACTTAGTGAGACAAAACACAAAAAAATCCCCAAAAAACCAAAAAACAAACAGAATGGCCAGGACAGCTGGGCCTGGCAAACCTGTCCTACAGCCTCCTGCTGCAACTCCTGACACCGAGGTGGCCCAGGCCCCACATCTGCATGGACCATCTAAAACGTGGCCTGGAGGGGTGGGGACAGGGGGCATGAAGCTCTGCTTGGCTCCCTCCAGCACCCATGTGCTTGTCTGTTCAGATTCCCAGCACCTGACAAGCAGTTAAACCCCTGGATTCCGCCCAGGGCTCTCCTCCACCGGCACACCGGGCTTGCTGGCGTTGGACCCTACAGGAAAGAGGGAAAGCAGAATGAACACCCGGGTTGATAAAGGGGCAGGGCCTGGCATGACCCAGAGTGGAGCTACAGGATCAGGGTACCAGGCAGGGGAGCAGGCCTGGGATGCGAGGGTGCGGAGACCAAGCAGAGTCCAAGCAGAGCTGGGTGTGACTGGTGAGGAGCACATAAGTCCAACTCTTCCTCACAAGAGGAAGCCACCGAGGACAAATGTCACCCAAGAAAGACAGGATCCCCAGGGGCCCTGGGTGAGCGGGACTGCCCTGGATGATCATGCGCCTTGTGCTGGAGGGAAGTTGTATCCTAAGGCCGAGCAGACGCCTGACCCCTCCGGTCCTCCAGAAAGATGGGCCTTGGCACCCCCACCCCCACCCGGGGAAAATGCCTCCTAGCCAGAGCTGTCAGGAGCACCAATGCAATGAGTGAGCAGAGGAAGCAAGCCAAGACAGAGGAAAGAGAGATATTTACCTTGGTGTTTTCTTAAAACAAAAAATGCGCACTAGTCCACAGTCAGTATCAACTGCAGTTTCCAAATGTGCCAAAGAGGGAAAGGTCTACGGGGAAGGCTGAAGACAGCAGAGAGAGAGACACAGAGGGAGAGAGAGAGAGACAAGAGACAAGAGGCTGTTGCGAGTACCACCAAGGGCAGGCGGGCCACACATCAGAGGGAAGTCATGAAGGAAAGCATCCTGGGACCCAGGCACTATCTCCTGGAAAGCAGCCTTGTGACTGGGCAACATGAGGACTGCTTCAGAACATGCTGAAAGGCCAGGGGTCTGAAAACGTGCACCAATTTAAGGTTTTGCAGGTCACTTGACTCAACTCCACTGTTGTCCTTCAGAAGCCACCAGACAACCCATAAACCAAAGAGCAAGTACGCATGAAACTTCATTTACAGATACGGGCAGCCTGCTAGATCTGGCTCTTGCCCTGTAGTTTCCCCGCCCCTGCTGTGAGCAGTTGAAAATTCCTTTGCCTTCCAAGCCCTCTGATGAAACCCTTCTCTGCCAGGGACCTAGCGACAAGGTCTCCAGGCACAGGTCTCACCTGTATGGCTAAGTCACTATGCATGCCAAGGACAGACACAGAGAGACCCCAGAGGGTTCCAGGAAAGGAGCGAAGACTACAGGCAACCTCACTGGGGACAAACATCAGGTGTTCTTGGGTAGAAATAGCAATGGTGCGTCGGCAGAGTAGTGGGTAATAGGTTACAAGGAAGAAACGACCCACAACACTGCTGTAAATGACTCTCTCTGGCCCAATGAATGGCTGAAGCCTAGAAGATTTAAAAAGAAATCTCAAGGGGCTGGGGATTTAGCTCAGTGGTTCCACAGCCTGCCTTGCAAGCACAAGGACCCGAGTTTGATCCCCGGTACCAAAAATAAGTAAATAAATAAATAAAAAGAAATCTCAAGGGGCTAGAGCATGGCTCAGTGGTAGAGCACTTGCCTAGTACCTGCGAGGCCATGGTTCTGTCCTCCAGAACACCCCTCCCCACTGAGGTCTGGACCCTGAGCTTCGCTGTGCAGGCTCCACAGCACCAGAAGCCCACCTGAATGGCTCACCTTCTGCTAAGTCTTGGCTTTTAAGGCCCAAGTCCCTATGTGGTGGTGTGAAGTTCTGTAAGGGACACCCATAAAGAAACACCCCAGTGGGGGAACAGTTTTGTCAACTGTATGAGTTGCAACCCCATCCGGGAGCATGTGACCCTTCGAGAGGGAAGCATCCCCACCCCCATCCCAGGCCCAAAGGCAGGACTTAGTTCGGTCATACCTGCTGTCTCTTCTACGCCCCCCACCTCTAGTGGCCAGAGGGTCTGTCACTGTGCCTTGGGTCTCCATCCCTGGCACATGCATGTCATCTCTCAATTCAGAAAGAACCTTTCTATCACAAAAAACATATCTGTGCTCTTATACAGGGAGGCACTCCAGGCCCCTCCAGACAGTGGGGATGCTCACCAAGGGAGGACACAGAGGACTCTGAGCTGACAGTACCCGCTCTGAGCATAGCACCCACGGAGGAAGTGCCCAGGAAGAGCTTGTCTCCTTCACGTCAGGCAGGGTAGGGCCCCACAGTCTCTCCAGATCCCTGGCACCACTGCCCACCCCCCAGGACTCAGTCAACTGGAAACTACAACAGTGCACCCCAACTTTACCATCTGACCCCATACCCCATCCTCATGCTGCAGCGTTAGTTCCAAGTGTACTGTGCAGTCTGTTCCCCAACATGGCCACCCAACAAACAGGACAGCCCTGCTCTGCCACACGTCAGTTTCTGCCTTCTGAGGATGCCTTCTGAGGAAGACCCATAGGCGACCCAAACTTCCTTCTCCAACCCCAACCCTAATGCTCAGTGGTCAGGACAGAGTCTGAACCGCTTACCAACTGCTATCTGTTGAAACCAACCCATTCTAGAGGCACTTCAGTGAAAATGCTGGCTTCATATGCTCTGCTTCAAGGGCCACTAATCCAGAAATTGGTGCCACCAGCAAGACGGAAACCAAAAGAGGACAGAGGGAGGTGCAGGGCAGGGCAAGGGCAGAGCATGCCGTGTAAGCGACACAAGGGGCAGAGCACACAGCCCTCTGCGTCCTAATGCTCAGGATGTGCCATGAGGGACTCACCTGCTGCTACAGCTGTCTTGTCACTGAGTAGCCTGGTCTGGCTGCCTGGAACGACCTGGAGGTCAGCATTCTCAGGGGACGGTGGCAGGCTCTGGGCCCGGGTAGCCAGGAGTGCATTGAGGTACTGCAGCCGTGTGACCTGGGGGACAGAGGCAAGTCACCCAGCAGGGAGGATGCTAACTGGTTGGACAGAGGGGAGAGTGGTGCAAGGCTTTCTCTAAATCCCTACAGAGACCACGTATGGGTGGGATAGAGGCGGGGTGGTCCTGCAGGGCAGGGCAGGACAGGCCTCACTCTTACAGCCTCAGACATGCAGTGTTTACACTCAACCTTGTAGCCAGCTGGTCTAGGGCACCCAAGGACATAAAGCCAGTTAAAGCCAGCAACAGTGAGCAGCCCAGCAGTCACCTTCACGAGCTGCAGGTCTGAAAGGGCCCTCACGGTGTAGTCCGGACAGTACGTGGAGGAGCGGGTACTGTCGGCAGGCTCGGGATGCAGGTCATGGCGGGCAGGCTGGCGTGAGGACACCGGGGACTGGTGAACTATTGAGAGGAATAACCAGTGACTTGGTGAACCGCTGGGGCGGGGGAAGCAGCCCCGCTGCTGCATGGGGTTGGGGGAAGGGTCTCAGTGATGGGACAGAGAGACAAGAGAAACGATGCCTGCCTCTCATGCAGGAGGCATTGGCTCCCGCAGAAGGGACACAGCCCAGTAGCAGAACCTGAGAGGACGGGTGGAGTAGTGCTGCAGGGTGGGTTTACCAGAGGATGGCGCTGTCAGGGCAGACACGCCATAGTAGGTGAAGGCCCCGTTCTCAAACTTCAGGCCCTCCTTCCCGATCTCCACCTCAACCCTGCCCTGGGAGGAGGTGGGGGGGGAAACAAGTGTAAGTCATCTTTCCTGTCAGAGAAGAACCCAAGGAGAGACCCCCAGGAGCCAGGGTAAACCCATCCCAACCTCTCCCGCGACTCTGGCCCAGTACCTGCAGGATGAGGATGAAGTAGTCCACTGGCCTGCTGCGCTGGTACAGGAAGTGGTGTGCGGCCAGGCGGTTACTGTCATCAAACTTCACCTCCTGGTTGACACTTGGGTGCTTCAGCAGATGCAGCAGGACCTTCTCGGAGATGCGCACTGGGCTGAACACATCCACCTCTGCCCCATGGCATAAAGAGGGACAGTGTCTCCCGGGGCCAGCATGCCCTCAGTCACCAATCTCCGGCTCCTATTGCCCTCGAGAGCTCTCCCTGGAGGCCCCAGCACTGCCACGCCTCCACGCACCAGAGCCAAGCAGGGCACTGCCCCCACCCTCCCCTAAGGGCTACTGAGGCTGCCCTCAGGTGACCGAGATGCTGACAGGGTCACAGAGAAGCAAATTTCTCTCACAGAAATGGGAAGCAGAGTCCACATGTGTCTGGGTTGGGCTCCTGACCCAGGGACAGCCAGAGAGCAGGGCCAGGGACTGCCCTTCACTCTCACCTCGAGACAGGAATCGCTGAGTGGCCAGGAGCAGCTGGGGCGAAATTTTTACTTTGTACTCCTCATCAGACACCTTGAACAGGGAGAACTCCTCCTTGCACTTGGGAGGGACACTCAGGGAAGCAGCCTTCTTCCTCACCGTGGTGTCTCCTAAGAGGAGGGTGTGTGGGCATCAGCACCCAAACACAACCAAACAAGGGCCCTGCTGCCTATCCTTCCCTCCCAAAGCCTGGGGGGCCCCAGGGACACATGCGTGGCCCAGTTCCCTCCACAGTGTCTGGCTGTCACCCTGGTGCCCAAGACAGTACTGAGGACAGGAAGCCATGCTCAAGGGCCCCAAGACTGTCTGCTGGGGATATCCTCTACAGGATGTTTTTGTGGTTGTGTTCTGGGAATGGAAGCCAGGGCCTGTGCCTGCAGGGCAAGTGCTCTCCAAGGAGTGGGTCCTTAAAGAACACCTGGGTGATGCACCAAAGAACCTGTGCCAGCAAACGCATCAGGAAAGAATGAAGGGGAAAGGCCCAAGAAGCACAGAGCCCCAAGTGAGAGAAAACACAGGACAGCCACTGACAGAGCCCCAAGCTCCTGCAGGAACTGCAGGACCCCAGCAGCCAGGCTACCATCCACCATCCACACTCACGGTAGTCTTCAGACTCGTCTAGGATCTCGGACTTGATGATCTCCTCGATGACGTCCTCCAGGGTGACCAGGCCCAGCACCTCGTAGAAGGGGTCACCCTCGCCCTCGTTGTTCACCTTCTGTACGATGGCCAGGTGCGACTTCCCTGTGCGGAGGGGACATTCACAGCTTTCAGGGGGCTCTGTTTTTCCAGCTCTCTGGGATAAGCCTGTCACAAGAACAGTGGCTAACATTTGTGTTGGGAACTAAGTCCAACTCTCCCTAGGACTGGACACCAGCACACTGAGTGAGCCCTCAGAGACCAGGCTCTCCATACAAGGTCCCTGCACAGACTGCGGTGGAACTGGGACGTGGCTCAGGTCTTTGTAGCCATGGACAAGCTCCCAGGGACAGTCCCAGCCTGAATCTGTGCAGGGCTTTCCTGATTCCTACAGCTGCCCTTCTGCGGCTTGTCCATGGGATCGGGAAGTGGACAGTGGCCATGGGGATCCAACAAGGTGAGGAGGAGCCACAGGTTGGCGCTGCCCTTTGCTCCTAAGTCTCTCATGTCACCTTCCTATCTGGTCTTGGCAAACTTCAGGAGTTTATGCTAAGAACAGAAGTGCTTTTCAGCCACAACACTGTACACTTCTCTGAGCAACACAAACAGCAAGGCAAGCCTGCTGTAATTTAAAATCTTTAAGCAGCTATATTAAAAAAAAAAAAAAAATCAAGGGCCAGGGATTTAGCTCAGTGGTGCTGCTGCCTGCCTCACAATAGCAAGGTCCTGAGTTCCATACCCAGTACCCCCCCAAAAATAAATAAATAAAATAAAATAAAATAAAAAGAAACAGATAAAATTTAAATTTAGCAACATATTCTAAGTAACCCAATATAGTCCAAATCTCATCTCAACAAGTAATCTACAAGTGTGATAAGCATCTCACTTTCCTTTTGTACCAAGCCTCTAAAATCTGGGGTATGACTGCCTCTTACTACATACCCCAACTCAGACAAGTATCCCATCAAGCACTCCCCAGCCACAGTGCAGGCAGAGAGGCTGCTGGACTGGGCCAGGGCACAGAGACACACCCTCCTGTCCCAGTGACTAAGGGAGGGTCATGCTGGCCTGCCAGACTTGCATGCTAACGCCATCTGCTCCAAGAATCTTTTGGGAAAGCAAAAAATCAGGTTTGTTTTTTTTTTTTTTTTTTGGTTTTTTGAGACAGGGTCTCCCTATGTAGTTGAGACTGACCTGGAACTCACTATGTAGCTCGGGCTGGTCTCAAACTCACAGCGATCCTCCTGCCTCAGCCTCCCAAGTGCTGGGATTATAGGCATGTGCCATCATGCCCGGCAAAAAAATCAAGTTCTTATTTTTGTGCAAATCATTATTTCACATTGTGGATTTTGTGAAAGCAACATTCTTTGGGGTGCTTTAATAGTCTTGGACAAAAATTAAAGGTGGAAACAAGCACATTAAGTCACCTCCCCCTTGCAGGACGAAAAGGCCCAGGGTCCCTGCTCACACCTGCCGAGTGGACTGACTGAGGCATCCCCAGATCCTCCTAACCCTGGAGACCATCCCACTGCTCTATCACAGAACCCAAACCTTTCAGACCAGCCCAGGAAGGCCAAGGGCGTGACATGCAGTTCTGGTCCCCAGTCTGGGTTCCTCACGACACCAAAGCTGAGCTTCTGAAGGGCCACCTCCATCCAGAGAGGCCTCGCCTCCACTCCCGCCTGGGCCGCTGTCCCTCTGGCAGGCCACCTACCAGAAGGGACTAACTTCTTCCTTAGTCTCAAACTGCTGTGAGTGAGACAGGGACGTGTGTCTCCTGGGAGCTGCCACACAGGGATGGCCTGACAAGGAACAGGAACAGAAGGAGGCAGGGCTTTGGGAGATCTGAACAGCAGCCAGGTGACATTCACAATACTCGGTGTCTGAGGGGTCCAGAGGGTGACCAGAATGCAGGAGGAGACAGAAAGGTGGATGGAGGGACTAAAGTCCACCACCCATCCGACAGGCATGGCAGCTCCATAAGCCACAGGCAGGTGTGGAAGGAATGACCTGGCAACAGAAAGCACCAGAAAAGCTCCAGTTTGGATTTTACCCAGCAGGCTCCTGGAAAGGCTTGATAACTGCCCCCAGGGCAGCCCTCATTCACCAGAGTATTCCAATTATAGCGGGGGAAGACACTTTCACAATGCCCAACCTCTATGGTATCCTTTTCTTTTTCGTGGTGGTACTGAGAATTGAACCTAGGGCTGTCACACAGAGCTACATCCCCAGCCATTTTTTTTTTTTTTCCGGTACCGGGGATCAAACTCAGGACCTTGCACTTACGAGGCAGGTGAGGTGCCACTGAACTAAATCCCCAGCCCTCTTTCCCTTTTTTATTTTGAGACAAAGTGTCTCTAAGTTGCTAATCTACCTTGTCTGGTCTCAAATTTGCCATCCTCCTGCCTCAGCTTCCTGGGATTAGAGATGAAACACTGTCCAGTTTTATAATATCTTTAAAAATGTAGAGTTAAAAAAAATAAAAATGTAAAGTTTAGTTTCTTCTGTCTTCCCTGTTATTTTTGCTTTTCTTTTTCTCAGTGCTGCAGAGGGAACCCAGGGCTTCATGCACACTAGGCAGCTAAGTGTTCTACTTGGACCAGCATGCCCAGCCTGGTTTTGTCATCTGCTGTGGCATGTGTACTGACATCCTGGGCAGCGCTTCTCCGAGGTCTGAGCAGCTCTGCCTCTCCTCAGCAACAAGGCATCACGTGGCTTTTAATGAGACAGTGAGCCAGAACTCAGTGGGTCAAAAGCACACTTTGCTGGTGCACTCCTGTAATGCCAGCACTCGGGAGGCTGAGGTAGGCGGATTGCTGTGAGTTCAAGACCAGCCTGGGCTACATAGTGAGTTCCAGATCAGCTTCAACTATATAGTGAGCTTGGAAGGTGAAGAAACTGCAGAGGAGACAGACACCGGGAAGACATAGTGAGACCCTGTCTCAAAAAAAAAAAAAAGAAAACCAAAAAGACAAAACACAAACAAAAGCACACTTTGCAAAGCTCCCCTTCCTAATCTCTTTTTGCTTAGCCTCACTGTGGACTAAAGAGGACAGTTGGTTGGGTCGATAGCTTTACAGAAAATACAAATCACTCATTAGAGCTCTGAAGCACTCTTCTGCCTGACCTGTGCACAAAATAACTGCTGTATCATCTTGCATCTGTGGCCAAGGCGTGCCTCTCCCCAGCTTACAAAGGAGCAGGGCCCCATACCCAGTGCCAAGATGTCCAGGACTCCAGCTCCAAGAAGATTGTGAGCACCATGATCTCAGATTCTTGGCAAAGAGATGGGAAGGGGACTGATTTAAAGGAGTCCTGCACCAAGAAGATTGTAATGAGCCATTTGGTCATAAGGAATGCACCGTATCCATGGGTCAGGACAGAAAGGATTCACACAAGCCGGGCACGGTAGCACACTCCTGCAATTGCAGCACTTAAGAAGCTGAGGCAGGAAGATCACTACCTGTTTGGGGCCAGCCAGGGCTACACAGTGAATTCAAGGTTAGCATAAAATGTGTAGCAAGAACCTGCCTTGAAAAATCAAACCACACTGAACAAAACAAGACTCACACAAGAGGAAATGCAGCGATCTGCCAGAGGCTGCAGAGAGAGCTGTGACAGCTCTAGGATGTCCCTGGAAAGGTTTGGGCACTGCCCCCAGGGCAGCCCTTATCATGGGGATGAGGAAGTCAAGGGGCACTAACAGGACTCCCACTGGACACCCACCATCAAGGTAGCTTCCGGGCACCCAATCCCCAAATGCCCTCCAGTGTCAGGCTGCATACAGCCGCTCAGAGGCCGCTGCTCAGGAGCAGGAGTGCCCTCACTGTAGCCTTCCCTCTCTACAGCACCATCTTTCCAACAGCAGGTCAACCTAGCCTAGCTCCATGCCTATTCTGCAGCCTAGGAGCAGCAGGCCCCTCCCCACATCTCCTTGCCACACCTGCCAGATGCCTGTCCACCTTAGCTCCCCTCCATCTCCATTACCACTGTCCTGACCAGCTACCACACCAAATCTACTTCAGGAAAGTCAAGGGCATCCTGCTGTCTGTCTCCTCTGCAGATTCTTCACTTTCCAAGCTTCCTGATCCTCTGTCCTCTCCTTCTGTGGTCCTGCCTCCTCCTGCAGCTCCTCCCAGGCTCCCAGCTGCACTTTTCACACTCGTGCTGGGGTTGGGAATGGAGTGGGGGTACGGTCACACTCTGTCTACTTCCAGAGCTCTGGGGGCTTGCATTCCTGCTAAGAGCCTGCCTCCTAGGACACTGCACTGACACAAAATCCAATGTAAGAAAATACTCACCGCTCCCTGTCCTGGCCCTCAGGGAAGGCAGAAATGCAGGCCTCCATCTCCAGCTCTCCCCTCTCGTACCACAGCCCCTCAACCAACCAGCAAACCCTCCTTATTCCACCTACTGATGCCCCCTAGGTCTCCTTCCCAGGCTACTGTGTGCTCCCGCCAGCTCTTGTCACCTCTCAGCTGGGCTCCTCACCACTCTGTCTGTACCAGCCACTGGTCGCAGAAACAACCTTGATGGTGCTACCCTGCCCACAGCCCTGGTGACCGAGTCCCTGTTCCACACTTTAGACATCCTGACCAACTCCTGAAGCTCAGTCCCAGACAGGGGCACCCCTTCCACCACTACCGCCTGAATCTCCTGCAGCAAGAACACAAAGAACACAAGAGTCCTGGTGAAGCCAGACACCAGAATGAGCGTTTAAAGGAACCTAGAGACAGGCAAGCTCGGAGGACCAAAGGGACCACATTGGTCTCCACATTACTCCTCCAAGGAGAAAGTCTGGTGACCACTCAGGAAGAAATGGAACCTGAACTTCCAGGTCACTCCATGGGTGAGCAGACACCATCTACCACAGCGCCTCCCTGGGTGAAGGCTGCTGTGCTAGCCAGCATCACAACCCGTTTCCTTCCCCTGCCTTCCCCAGATCTTCTCCAGCTCCTGGGTTATCTCCAATACTAGCAGCTGAGGGTCTTGAGCACAAGCGGCTGTGCAGGGCTAGGGATTTTTAGCTCAGTGGTGCCACTACCTGCCTCACAAGGGCAAGGTTCGAGTTCCTGTTCCCCCCCCCCCCCGTCCCCAAAGCAGCTGTGCGCCTGTCCCAGGGTCTAGAAGCCAAAGGATGGGGCGGATGGAATCCACCAGGTGACTCCAGGGCCACAATGGTGGCTGCCACCACAAGGGCTACCATGCCCAGATGATACATTTACTACCACGAGGCTCCCTCCCCACAGAGGAGCCACAGGGCCAAATTCTGGAGAGCAGCCCAGGCACACCTGTGGTATCTCTAACAAACAGGCCCTGCCTGACCTGAGCCAACCCAGGCTTCATGCTGTAAGAGATGAGGCACAGGCCAGGGCTGTACTCAACACAAGAGAAGCATGAACAAGACCAGAAAGTCTTCCTGCTCCGTCCAGGAGCTCGCAGGGCACCCCCATGTGGACTGGAGCCAGCAGGCTTTTCAATTCTCCTCCTCCAGTCCTGCAGCGGTCGGGGTCAATCATCTCCAGCCCTGGGGGCCCCTACCACACCCTGTAGGAGCACAGTGGTGCAGCAGTCTGTGGGTCCAGAAGCCTGCAGGCAGGGGACACGCCCACAAGGAAGAGTACTTTGAGGAACCCGTGCCTCACCCCTAGAGGGCCTTCCAGGTTTGCCAGCACCAGAAAGAGTAGTTTCAGATAAACCAAGGCAAAAGGACCAAGCGAACTTTCCAGGTTAAGGGTGAACCTGGGAGGCCTTTCTGAGGAGATTAAAAAGAAAATAAAGTAAGGAAAAGGAAAATTAAACCGGCATCCATAAAGTTGTTTTTGGAGAAATTAAAGTGAAAGTCTTCTCTTTATGAGTCACTCCCTTGTCTGCAGTCAGGAAGGCAACAACCAATCAGGGACCGCAAGTCCAACTAATGTGTGCAGGCAATGGTGTCCAGCTATTCTAAGACTTTTCCATGTCCTTCTAGTTTCTATCCCTGAGGCCCAGGTGTTCAGAAGTGGCCTGGGAGAAAGAAGACGGGGGTGAGGGTGGGGGGGATGGGGGGTCGGGGGAGGTATAGCACTGTCAGGCCCCCTGGGAAGAACAGTCTGTAAATAAATTTCAAAACGTCGTTCCCAAGTGCAAGACCATCACCTTAGGGAAAAGGGGAGGTCTCACCACCCTTTTCCTCCAGGATTCCATCTCCCTTGCCCCTTTTCAGGGGAGAGCACTGGACAGGCGTCTGCCCCACCGTTACCTCGCTTGAACTCCTCCAGAACAGCGTCCAGCTTGGTATCGTTGAAGACGAAATGGAGCGGGTGATTATAGAAGCGAGTGATGGTGCTGAGCGGCGTGCAGTCCTCGGGGTCCACGAAGGTCAAGTCCTTGAGGTAGAGCATGTCCACGATGTTGGAGCGCTCCTCCTCGTACACTGGAATGCGAGTGTAGCCGCTCTGCATGATGCTGGCCAGCACCCCGAAGTCCAGCACTGCGCTGGCGTCCAGCATGAAGCAGTCCTCAAGCGGCGTGAGCACGTCCTCCACCGTGCGGTAGCGCAGCACGCCCTTGCTCAGGTCACCGTAGGGGTCACCGCCACCGCGTGCCAGCTCCAGCACTCGCTCTCGTAGCCGCCCCGGCCGCGCTGCCAG